CACCCAGAGATCCAGGGTGGCTCTCAGAGAAAGGGGTCAGAGCTGTGTACCCAGCCAGAGATCGAAGGACACTTTCATTTGCAGAAATATCAGAGCAAGAGGACGTTAACACAAGGAAATTAACGCTTCCCCTGGGCCGTCCTTCCACGCTGGAGCTCGTCTATCCCATGCCCAGCCCTTCCCATCCTGCCCTCCGGGGTCTTGGCAGGAAAAACACACGGAAGGAAGTGTCCCCGATGTGACACTCAGACTGGGGTCAAATGGGCCATTGCTGATACTGGCTGGGATCCTCAACGGAACTGAAGAGAGCAAGCACTCAACTGCCCTTGGATTCCAATGGGATTGCATCGGCTGGGTCCCTGAGACTGCTCTGAAAACCCTCCGTGTCGCACATATGGGGCCAAACCCCCAGCTAGCGCAAATTGGCAAAATGTCATTGACTCCAGAGGAGTGATGCTGATTGACACCAGCCAGGGATCTGGCCCACTGACTCCAGTGGGGCTGTGCTGGGTTTCACTTGCCCATCACCAGTACTTACAGGCCCGTCGTAGTTATGGCTGTGGTAGTCAACCAGCCCCTGCTTCTCCAGAAGGTAGAAACGAATCCAGTTGTGGAATCCGGACACTTTTCCTTTTTTGACTTCCCCTAAATAACAAAGGAGACAGTCACTGGTTAGCTGCACCCTGAGGAAGAGGCCTAGTGACCCCTCAGCCCTGCCGACACTGGGCCGGCAGAGAGTGGCTGGGCACACACATTGAACCCAAGGGGGAAGAGGGTTTCCTCTGCCTTCGTCTGGGAGCAAGTCTGCTCAGTACATGCTTGGCGCTGCCCATCACTCCAGCCAACTTCTGCCCGGGCTGTGTGTACCCAGCACCGTACTGTACCTGAAAAGACGTGCTCAAAGCCGCTGGAATCCCCCTCATCCTTGCCTCTGGAGTAAAGGCCAAACCACATCTCCTTCAGGTCGCTGACAAACTCCTCCTGGGTGCTGTAGCGCTCTGGAGAGAAAGCAACATGGACAGGGCCCCGAGCAAGTGAGAGGAGGGAAACCAAATTTCAGAGAGAGGAATCTTCTGGCCATGTATAACGCTGACAGACCCGGTTGTGTCGGTGGCTCTGGAGCTAAATGCATGAGCCTCTACTGATGGACTAAAAGCCACATGGCTCTTAGCCAAGGCTGTAGCAGACATATCAATCTCTAGCTGGGCTAGGTGCCACTAGAGGGGGACAGAGCGCCACACCCAGCAGGCCTGGGTTACACATGCTCTGGGCAGATCCCCTCCAGACTCCTGACCAGGCTTTGGAAGAACCAGAGATGAGGCTGCCTCTGCTCCAGAGCCGGCATCCCAGGTGTTACAGTGAGCTCTGGCCTGCCAGGCAGGACTTTGGGTGCTCAGCCAGTGCTTAGGCCAGTGGTCCCCAACATCTATGTGCGCCCGCCTAGTGCCCAGCAGGGGAGAGAAGCCGGGGCCCCGCGCCTGCCAGGGACAGAGAACTCAGGCTGCGGGCGCGGTGTTCTCAGTTCCTGGCAGACGCGGGGCCCGCCTAATGCCCAGCAGGGGAAAAAGCTAGGGCCCCGTGCCTGCTGGGGACAGAGAACTCCGAGGCTGCAAGTTGCGGGCGTCAGTGTTCTCTGTCCCCGACAGGCGCGGGGCCCGTCTAGTGCCCAGCAGGGGAGAGAAGCCGGGGCCCCGCGCCTGCTGGGGACAGAGTACTCCGGGGCTGTGGGTGCCGGTGTTCTCTGTCCTCGCAGCTTCTCTCCGGCTTCTCTCTTCTCTCTGGATTCATATATTATGTAATATTAAATATGATGTTTTTTGTATTATTTAATGTACAAATGCAAAATAAGCCTTGAAAAATTGTTGGCGCCCACCACACTCTTCTGAAAACATGAATGTGCTTCTGGCCACAAAAAGGTTGGGGACCACTGGCTTAGACAGTGCTGGGCAGCTGCTCATGCACCGTGCCCCTCTTTATATATGTTAATCTTCCCACCTGCAGGGACCCATCCCATTGCACAGCTAGCCTGCACCTTCTTGGTTCATAATTCTCAGTGCTGGAGAGAGCTGCTGCATTGACAGCCCTGGGAGCAGTGTGCCCCCGGCACAGCGGAAGCAGAGAGTGGGGCCCCCAGTGCCACCAGCGGGACTCACCCCTCCAGGAGGGAGGTGGTGCTCAGGTTCTGTGGCCCATTCAGACCCTGGCTTCTCTGCTGAGAGCAGCCACGGGAGCTGGTTGTAATGAAGGAGTGTCCTATAATGGTCCCTGAAACTTTGAGCAGGGGTGTGCACAGGAATTTAAATTTGACCCCTTCTGGGGGGACACAGAAGTTCGCTCTCCCCCCTTCCTCCCCAGCCCTGGCAGGAGCTCGATATTCCCTACCTCCATGGCCCCGGGACCGGAGAAGTTCTGTGCCCATGACGATTATTGGAGGGCCCATGCCCCTGCTTGCCCGCCCCTTGCGCACACCCCTGATTTTGCGGAACAGGTGATACCTGCTGCTGTCAGCCATTGGGAAATGTTTGGATGCAGCAAACACCTGTTCTCAGGGTAACTCACATGCTCAGACAGTCTGAGCAATACACTCGGCAGGAAGGTTGGTGACCAGGCCTATCCCTTGCTCAGCAGGTGCAACCCAGTACTACCCCAGCAGGCCCTTCCCAGTACAACCCCAGCAGACCCTGTCCAGTGCTACCCCAGCAGGCCCTTCCCAGTACAACCCCAGCAGGGCCTGGCTGTCCAGTGCTACCCCAGCAGGCCCTTCCCAGTACAACCCCAGCAGACCCTGCCCAGTGCTACTCCAGGCACAGCACAGGATCCACTTACTTTTCTTGTGCAGGAAATTGTAAAGCTTTTTCATGAGCTCCGTTTTCATGACCTCCTGCAGGAAGTTCTCCTGCTCCTTCAGCTGCTCGGCACTGAAGGCTTCCCCTCTGCCCGTCATCCTTTGGTAATTATCCAGCAGCTTAATGAAGCTGGCATAGGTGGGTTTGGAGAAGAGCTTCTCATTGACATACGTGTAGAGTCTGAAATGGGGAGATCATTGGCGCTGGGGGGGCAGGAACGGCCAGTCCAGCTGCTTTCTAGAACCAGGGCCAGTGACCAGGGACGCCAGGTGCCCAATGTGAGGTTCCTTAAAGGGCCTGGACTGCCAGAGCCAGCGTGCTCGGCACACCCTGAGAATCAGGCCCCTTTAAACTGTCTCAGGTCCAGTGACCGAAATCACTGGGCACTTTTGAAAATTTAGGCCTCAGATCTTTGAAACTGCCTCCCACCCCACTTGCCCTGCCTGCCCCCTCCGCTCCCCCGACTCCCCCCAGCTGGGGCCCCAGCAATCAAGGGGCTCTCCCTGCTCTCTCCCACCCCCCAGGAACTCACATTCTCTAACATCGTAACACGGCCCTTCGTCCCGTCCCCTCCCGTGCAGGCTCCCTGCTTGGAGCCCTGCATGGCACCGGGCCACGTTCCACCCTCATGCTGGAGCTGTGCGGGGGTTGGGAGCAGGTCACCCAGCCCAAGGCAATGGCGAGCGCACACAGCACTCACGGCTCAGGAGAATGATCCTCTTTGTCTCTGGTCTCGGCGGAGGAGGCGAGATGCTGCGGGTTAATGGTGATGTCTGACTTCTGGGCTTTGTTGTGGTCCACCTTGAAAAGCTGCTCGGAGATGCTCAGGAGCTCTTCGTTGGTGATGGAGTCGTGACTGCTGGAGAATCCCTCTGCAGGGGTCAGGGCCATTGCACAAGCAGATGAGTGGATGTGAAGAGCCAAGCCTGGGAGCTTACCCTTGAGGGAGGGCCCAGCACCCCACTTTCAGCAATTCCAGCAACTCAGTTGCCCCACACCAGGGAGCTTGTCCTGATTTAGGCTTCCCCCTAACACAGAGCTGCAGGGAGTGGGGCAGGGCTATTGAAAGCCACAGCAATGCTGGGGAGAGGGAGAACTGAGGCTTCTAAGCAGGGGAGCCCCAAAATTCCAGTTCGACCTCGCTGCTAAGGCAAAAGTCACCCCAGGGCATAGGGAGCACAAGGCTGTGGCACCACTTCAGTCCCACTTCAGCCCACAGGGTGCCCAGGCTTCGTGGTGGTCTCAGCCCCACGCTGGATTATCTGCAGACTGCAAGTGCATTGGGGCAAGGGCATCACCTGCAATGTGCCTTGCACACAACATGATACTGAAGCTCTGGGAGGCAGTGAGAAGAGGTCATAAGGGCAGGGGAAATTCAGGAGCTACAGGGGCTGAGCATTCCCAAAGGGGGCCAGGTTTGCAACTGAGAGGAGTTCCCAGCGGACAAGGCTTCCCAACCCTTGGAACTAGTGAGTCTGCAGGGAAGGGCCCTGGTTGTCTAGGACAGGAGTTCTCCCTACAGACAGGCCCCTCGCCCTGGGCACCAGCAGGAGCAGTGCTGCTAGCTCTAACGATTTCACCAGGAGGCTCCCACTATTTATTTTTTTGCATCAAGCCCTGGCTCCTGGAGTCAGGTGATTATGGGGGAGTGACAGTTTACAGTCCGACTGCCCAATTTTGCCTGGGTCTAAGCTCAGGTGGCCAGCCCAAGCTGCTACCCATGCAGCAACGTCCATACTGCTATTTTTAGAACATTAGCTCAAGCAGTGCTAATGTGTCTGTCTACCTGGGCTGCAAGGCACGCTACCAGCTGCACTGTAGACAGACCCTCTAAGTCTAAAAGGGACCACTCTGATCATCTAGTGTGACCTGTATAACAGGCCAGAGACCTTCCCCGGTTCAATTCCTTTTTGAACTAGAGCAGATCTTGTAGCACAGGGGTTTTCAACCTTTTTTCATTTGTGGACCCCTAAAAGATTTCAAATGGAGGTGCGGACCTCTTTGGAAATCTTAGACATAGTCTGTGGACCCCCAGTGGTCCATGGACCATGGATTGAAAACCACAGTTTTAGGAAAGTATCCAGTCTTGATTTTAAAATGGACAGTGTTGGAGAATCTACCACAACGCTTGGTAATTGTTATAAAGTTTAATTACCCTCACTGTTAAAATTTGCACCTTATTTATCTGAATTTGTCTAGCTTCAACTGCCAACCATTGGGTTGCATTAGATCTTTGTCTGTTAGATTGAAGAGCCCATTATGAAATATTTGCTCCCATGTAGGTACTTGTAGACTGTAATCAAATTACCCCTTACCCTTCTCTTTGTTAAGCTAAATAGATTGAGCTCCTTGAGTCTGTCACTATAAGGCAGGTTTTCCAATCCCTTAATCGTTCGCGGGGCTCTTGTCTGACCCCTCTCCAATTTATCAACCCCCCTGTTGAACTGTGGGCACCAGAATTGGACACATTATTCCAGCAGCGGCCACTCCAGTGCCAAGCAGAGAGGTATAACAACCTCTCTATTCCTACTCGAGATTCCCCTGTTTATGCAGCCCAGGATCGCATTGGCCATTTTGGCCACAGCATCACACTGGGAGCTCATGTTTACCTGATTATCCACCAGGACTCCCAAATTTTCCTCAGAATCACTGCTTCCCAGGCTGTAAGTATGCCTGCATTCTCTGTTCCTGGGTATAGATATAGATATAAATGCTTCCCCCAGCACCACACAGCACCATCTACCTGCACTGTGCACTGAAGGGGGTCGATGCTACAGATGCCATGGGTTGATGTCATGCCCCACATCTGAGCAGGCAGGGAGAGAGCCTGATCTCCTCACTCAGATAACCAGGGAGGGATCCCGGAGAGATCAGCTCCTCTCTGGCGTAGGAACAAAGAAAGCCTGACATGCTGGCAGGATGTGTGCTGGAGAGCAGGACTCTGAAAGGGACTTGGGGTTGATAATGGAAACCAACCGAACATGAGGTCCCAGTGTGGCTGCGTCTGGGAGTGTGAACACGGGGCTTGGCCATAACAACAGGACTATCAAGTCAGAGCAGGGAAGTGCTATTACCCTGTCTACAGCATCGGCGAGCCTGATACTGGATATTGTGCCCACACTTCAGACACAAGGTTGAACAATTGGAAAGGGTTCCGAGAAAGGCCACAGGAATGATTCAAAGTCAGGAAAACCAGACTGAAGGAGCTCTATCTGTTATCTTCTCCAAGAGCAGGTGAAAAGGTGATTTGAGCCGGGTCTGTAAGTACCACGTGGGGAGGAGGTTTCTGGTAGCAGTGGGCTTTTTGAATAGCAAACAAAGGCAGAACGAGATCCAGCTGAACTCTGAAAAATTGAAACAGAAAATGAAATGCAAATTTGTAGCAATGGGAGAATTCCCCATTGGAGCAGCTCACCAAGGGGCATTCTCTGTCACTCGGAGTCCTTCAATCAAGCCCGGGCACCTCCTTCAGAAAGATCTGCTCTGGCCCAATCACAGACTATCACTACAATCACTGACTGCTGGGCCCATGCAAAAATCCTGGTGGATTCTCTGCCTTGTACTATCCGGGAGCTCCGACTGGATGATCACAATGGCCTTAAAGTCCATGACTCTTTGAGGCCATAGAGGCATGTGGGGACCGAGAGGCCTTATGACATTGTCCGACACCTCCTAGCACCTTTCATCTGCAGCTTACTACAAATCCTGCCCCTCAGGTTTACACCTGGATTTACTTCTGTGGCACACAGCCCTACAACTTTTCTACCACAGACTGAACCACATTGCTGTAACTGCAGTAAAAATGCTGAATCATGAGATTCACAGCTTTGGAAACCCATGGCCTTTGTACTGATAGGAAATGCAGAAGAGCAATAACACATGTGCAGAGCCTTGTGTTTGGGGAAACAGGCAGGGGCTCGCTGGAAAATGGCCGCAGGTCACACACTTTGCTAGCGACAACTGCAGCTACTCACCCATGGAGTCTGCAGGCCCTGCCATGGGGTCCTTCTGTCTCCCATCTACATTAAGTGAAAAGAAAAAAGAAAGCAAACGATCACTCAGTAGACAGTCCCAGACGCAGGCACCTGGGTTGTGTGGACTTCCCAGGGACTTACACTGAATGTGTTATCTAGAGAAACCGAGGGTAGCAGTTGGTGCCTGATTGTCATTGTTTTCTACTCATTAGAGGACCTCACACACGTGGGCACACACACACATGTTTGCACACGCAAGGGCACATCCAAGCACACACAGACACAAGCGCACACAGCCAGTGCATTGCTCTGCTGTGTCGTTCTCCGTGTTCCATTTGGGACCAATAAGTGTGAGTATTGGACAGACTAATAAGCATAATCACAACCAATAATAATGGTGGAATGGGAGAGCGACAGCAGTGCCAGGAAGCAACCCAGAGCCCAGCCTAGTCCCGTGTCCCCCCAGAGGCCGCTCACCCTTACTGCAGTGCATATGGTAATCTTCACAGCAGTTGCGATGTTTTTCACACTTGGTATTACAGTGACACTCATCCTGCTTGTTGTACGGCTCGTGGCAGCGCCCCCTGCAGGAGTCGGGATCTGTGTACAAGCCTGGGGGAAAGGAAAAACAAGCTTTCAATTTAAAAGGCAGCAACACCGTCCCTTGGGCTAGTCATGCAGGAATCACGCTGCTGAATCCGACCAATGACGTGGGTCGGGATCAGGGCCGGCTCCAGGGTTTTTGCCGCCCCAAGCAGCACAAAAAAAAAAAAAAAAAAAACAGCCGCGATCGCGATCTGCAGCAGCAATTCGGCGGGAGGTCCTTCGCTCCGAGCGGGAGTGAGGGACTGTCCGCCGAATTGCTGCCGAATAGCTGGATGTGCCGCCCCTCTCCGGAGTGGCCGCCCCAAGCACCTGCTTGGCAAGCTGGTGCCTGGAGCCGGCCCTGGTCGGGATCCGCATTGTGACAGCTGCCCATGCCACCCACTCCAGAGGAAAGTGCAGAACACTCCCTCGTGGGTAAGTGGGGATCACCTGGGAGGATGGAAGTTCCTTCTCAGTGACCAGCAACCTGGAGCCACGTGGTCGTGTGCACAGCCCGATCCCCTGGGAGAGGCTGTTCTGGCCCAGGCCAGGAGAAGGGGCGTCGATCGCACTCAGAATTTTGCTGCTGACCAAGTCAGCTACGTGAGTCAGCATAGGTGAGTAGCAGTGGTCTCAACCCGCGGCGTTTGGGCCCCAGCCTGACATTCTCTAACATTCAGGGGTGTTTGGATCGGACCTGGCGGTTCTGTTTGGGCAGAGGCTGCGAGTCATTCTGCGCAGAGCACGCAGTGGACTCTCCATGAGCTGGAGTCTGCTCATCGAGTGTGGGACTGGCTCAGCCAGGGGTCGCTGGGTGGTTCCATGCCCTGGGCGGTGCTGGAGCTTGAGCTGGATGGTCACGATGGTCCCTTCTGGCCTGGAATTTGATGACTCTGTGAATGAGGCCTAGGCAGCTTGTAAGCCCCATTTAATGCTGCTTTCATAGCTTCTGCAATTCTAAAGCCAGGAGGGACCGTTCTGATCATCCAGTCTGAGCCCCACGCAGGCCTGAGAATCCCCTGGCCCCAGCCGCTGGCTTGTGGCAGAGCCCTGAGGTGACTGCAGGCCTGTGCTGAGGTGAATTTCACCCTGGGAGGGGCCAGCAAGGGAGTTAATAGAAAGTTGTGTTAATTCCCAGCATTGTGAATCCCGGACTGCAGCCCCTAGGCATTGATAGAGACTCACCGGCAGAGCTGGCATGTGCTGTCTCTGTTTCCTCTTTATCCTCAGCAGCTGCAGTAAAGGGAAAGGAAAAGCCATGACTGTCTGTAACTGGCGGTGGAGGGGCTGAGAGACGGGAAGGTATGAGCGGGGCTACCCTGTCTTATTTGGACATGGCCCACTCATGGCTGCACCACCCGACGAGCAGCCCATGAAAATAATTAACCATTGGAATAATATAAGGGTCATGGTGGATTTACCATCACTGAAAATTTGTAAGTCAAGTTTGGATGTTTTTCTAAAATAAGTCCTCTAGGAATTCTTTTGGGGAAAGTCCTGTGGCCTGCGTTACATAGGAGGTCAGACTAGAGGATCACAGCAGTCCCTACTGGCCTTGGAATCTAGGAATCTTGAATCGTGGTGGGACTGGGTTTGCTGCAGAGCTGCCTGGGAACTGGTGTTTCTTCCCTGCCAAAAGTTTCAGTGAAAAAGGAAACGGTTTTGTTTTTGCCAAAAACAATTGTCTAACATCTGGTGCGGGAGTGGGGGTTGCTGACCAATAGAAAGCATTAGAAATGAATGTTTTCCCTCTTTTTGTAACTGAAAACTGAAACATTTTATCTGGGTGAGTGAAATATTTTGGTAAGACCAAAACTTTCCACCCAACTAGTTCACATTTTTCAGTCACCAAAAATATGAAAAAAAAATTAAAACATTTTGTTTTCTGATTCCTGAAATCTGTTTTGGCCTTTGGCTTTTCACCGAAAACCCAAAGAATTTCATCTGATGCGGCCATTGTGGAATATTCCAATGAAAGAGCCAGAAAAGCATTTTGAGGTAAAATTCTCAGCCGCCTCTCGCCTGGGTCTGAAGTGAGAGGGAGCTGAGGCTGCAGGCTGGGAGAGTGCATGAAAGAGCAGGTGGGCGACACAGCCAGCCAATGGCGACTGGTGTCGCTCGCCAGGACAGGCCTGCCAGGTGCAGGCAAGAAGCATGAATGTGATGGAGAAGCAGTGGAGAGATTCCTGGGAGGGGAGTGACCCGGTCGCAGCGATACTTTGATCTGACCAGCCAGGCTCCAGCATGGCCCCAAGATCAGGAATAGCAGTGACTTAAAGGCATCTTTGCCCATGCATGCCCGCACGCAGGCCCCTCCCTCACTGGGCTGCACTGAGTGCTCCTGGACCCCAGCTGAGGTCAGTGTCTTTTAGCTGCACCTGGTGACTGCACCTTTGAAATGTCACCAACAGTAGCGACTAAGAGAGGCTTTTAGTTTCCCTGCCATAAATCAGCTGTAACTAGAAACTCGCTGCTGTGCCAGGGTTTATGAGATGCACTTGAAAACGGAGGCAATTAGCATTTGCCCTGGAGTGATCCCACAATCCTGTACTCACCTGCCCCATGCCAGGACTGTGGGAAATTTCTGCACGCTGTCATACTGTGATATTGCACCTGGGATCCAGCAATCCCCATGGAAGGAGCCAGGCTCCTGCTGGCTTTGCTCCGTGTGGGAATCAGTGGGGGCTGTTAGTGAGCCCATAGCATGGCCATGCCTCACAGTATCAGTGCTTCAGTGTCGTATAGCTCCAGGAGCTGGACCTGTGCCCTGGACCTGTCAGCTTCCCTGTTAATATCTTAGTTGTATGCAAATTCCTCACAGATTGGGTTCCTTTATGCAACTTCTTTTGGACTGATGCAACACTAGATGATAAGCCCCGAAGCATGATTCTCCCTGGAATGGAGCAATGCCCAGGGGCCGAAGCTGAGGGCAGGGACGGAGCTGGGCGTGACCAATAAACTTCTTTAGAAGTAGGCCACGTTATTTTAGACTAGTCACTTTCAAACAAGAATAACTTCTGCCCTTGCAGTAGTCAGGAAACAAATTACAAGGGCAACCAGTAAGCCTCATGCGTCAAGGGCTAATCTAATTGCTAGACAGCATCAGGAGAAAACAAGTTCCTTCTACGTGGCAGCATTGCACAAATGCCCTCTTCATGAGCGTTCAGGAGGGGGTGAGTTTGCCTTCTTCTAAAGTGTCTGCACTGGCAGAGGCAGGACCTGGGGCTAGCTGGACCACTGGGCTGTCCCCATCTGCTGAATGCTACCTTCTAAAGCTGGTTGGGAATTTCCCATCACACCTGTTTTTGATGAAGAATCATGGATTTGACTAAATGAAAATGTTTATGGAACGCGTCTGAACATTCTGATTTCTTGTCAAAAAATCAAAAACCCGAAAAGAGAAAAATATTCCGGTTTTGAGTTTTCAATGAAAAACCCTATTTTCTGAGGCGCTCTAGCAGTGCCTGATGTGTTGGAGCATGAGCAGTGCCCTGAAAATCTACTCTCTAGGCCCCAGGAGTTCTGCTGTCAGTGCCATGGTATCTAACAGGACAGGTGAAGCAACAGAGCCTCAGTACGTTCCTGTCCCAGTCCTCCCACTCCAGGCAGTGCAGTGGTGCAAGTGGAGCCCAAGCTGCCTGCTTCCAGCTGCTCTTGCAGATAGATCCTGGTTTGCAAATCAGGGAAGAAGAACCTGGTTATGATTAAACGTCCCGGTCTTGTGCCACCTAATGCTGTGAACTCCTGACAAATTGTGAGTCAAACCGAGCATCTCCCGTGAGTCCGGTGTGTCCTCAGGAAGTACAGTGAGCTCAGTGTACAATGAAATCATCCAGGCCACTTGCTGCAAACCGCCACCAAGGCACCAAAGAAATTCCTGACTTGGGACATCCCGGATGCTGGCAGGAGAGAAGGGTGTGGGGTTCAAGCATCACGCAGTGCTTAAGGCACTTTATTCTGTGTCCCATTCCAACTGGCTGTGCTTCCCAGCACCACACCCAGCCTCTCTGTCTGGGAAGCTCAGCCCTTAAAGCAGTGGTCCCCAAACTTTACAGGGTTGCACCCTCCCTTACCCCTGTGCACGCTTCCCCCCTCCCCACACAAGCCAGGGCCGGGAGCGGGGCCACAGCTCCCAGGGCAGGTGGGAGGGAAATGCAGATGGGGGTAAGGGGGTTGAGGCTGGGGCTGCAGCTCAGGGTGGGGACGGAGCTGGGAGTGAAGCCATAGCTGGGCCCCGGTGGGGGCTGGCAGCCATAGCCACAGACAGGTGTGGACCCGTCCTGAGGCTGGGGATGCAGCCAGAACAGACAGAGCTGGGGGCGGAGCTGAAAGTGGGGCTGGGTGGTGCTCCCTCCCCATCCCCTGTGGGGGCTGGCCCAGGCCGCACAGCACCCCAAACATTCTTGTGTGCCACCTTAGGGGAGTGTACCCCACAGTTTGGGGACCTCTGCTTTAAAGGCATTGTCCCCAGTACCACAGGATGCCACCAAACAGCTGATAGGCAGCGCCACCAAACCCGTTTAGCGGCTCGAGGAGGGGCTTGGGAGATGGCGGAGACCAGCGAGCAGTGGGCAGGGCCTCAAGGAAGGCGCAGAGTGGGGGCGGAAAGAGGCGGAGCGGGGTTGGGGCCTTGGGGGAAGGAGCGGAGTGGGGGCAGGAAGATATGGAGCAAAGGTGGGGTCTTGGAGGAATGGGCCGAGTGGGGGCGGGGCCTCAGGGCGGAGCGGAGTAGAGCACCCCCGGAGAAAAGTCAAAGTCGGCGCCTATGAGTGGAGATGGCTCACAAGGTGGAAGACAGCAGAAAATCAGGCCTTTGGCTAGTGATTTGGGCTGAGACTTTCAAAGCTGGCTAAAGGATTTAGTTGCACAATTCCTGGGGGTTTCTGGGACTGGAGTGTCCAGATCCCCTGGTGGAGCAACAAGTTCATCCTTGCTGACTAAAGAGTCAAACCTGCTCCTCGGTCGTTCCCAGAGACTGAAGTTTGCCCCAGGCCTCGGGAGCTTGCCCAAAGCCCCTGCACTTCAGCCCCCCGCCAGAGATCCAGGCCAGTAGAGCATGGGGGTGGGGCTAGGCCTCTGCAAAGGGATTGATTTCAACCGGACATAAAAAAGGAATCCTCCTGTTTAGAAAGGTTAGGTCATTCAATCTGGAAACAGTGACTTGACTAACACAGTATCACGTGACTTAGGGTTACCATATTTCAACAATCAAAAAAGAGGACACGGGGTGCCGCCCTAGCCCCGCCCCACCCTGCCCCCTCCCACTTCCCGCCCCCCTCAGAATCCCCCTACCCCCTACCTGTCACCCACCCCTAACTGCCCCCAGGACCCCACCCCCATCTAAGTCTCCCTGTCCCTTGCCTGCCCCAACGTCTCTCTACACCCCCTTCTCCTGACAGCCCCCCCAGAACCCCCGACTAATCTAACCCCCCGTTCCCTGTCCCTTGCCTGCCCCCCCCCCCACCAGGCCGAGGGAGAGCTGCAGGCTCCAAGTGCAGCCAAACAAATAAGGCGCTGCTCTGCGGGGGAGGGGGAGGGACTCTGGCTCTAGAGGCCCCAGTGGCTGCGAGCGGCTTTCAATCAGGCCCAGCCGTCCAATCAGCCGCGCCGCACTCTGCATGAGGGGAAGGGAGAAATCCCGGACATTTCTACCTTATTAGAAATCCCCCCCGGACGGCCATTTAAAGCTGAAAAAGCCGGACATGTCCGGGGAAACCCGGACGGATGGTAACCCTACGTGACTTGACTCACCATTCAAACAGAGCAAACACCCAATCACAGAGAGTTAATACTCACAGCAAATATAAACTGTTGAATTCATTATTCAGAAATGTAATGTATCAGAATAGGGTAATATCCCTTTAAATAGTGTGTGAGTCTTCTAGTGGTACTCACAATGTTCTCTGTTTCCATAGCTGCAAGAACCAGCCAGAGCAGCAGCCTGCCTGTAGCTAGGGTGAGCATGCTGTGTGTGTTTAGTAAACCTGGTTCTTTGGGACCTTACTGTGCCCTGGTGATTTCTTCATGTTGTCTTTGTTGCATAAAGAGCAAAAGACACACACGAACTTTGCATTAGCCACTATCATCTGATTAGCACCAGAGCTAGTCACAAACTGCTCACACAATGTGTCACTTGGTGAATAATAGTGATACTTGTGAAAGAAAGTATCTGAGGAAAAAATAGTCATGGCCTCCACCCAGCACTGGGAGACTCCAGGCTGCCGAGGAGCCCATGGAAAGTGTCTCACAGACTATCCATGAATGAAAAACAAATCAGAGCAAATCGCAGCCTGAGCTTGGACAGAAAGTAAAGGGGACATTTGCAGGGAAGGGGTGTAAATTATTCACAATAAATAATTGAAGGAGCCCAGGCAGTATTTCTGAGACGGGTATAACCCCAGCGGTGGCTGTGCCCAGCGGTGCTGGAACAATTTGTATAGTGGGGGTGCTGAGAGCCATTCAGGCAAACTGTAAACCCTGTGTCTAATGGAAACCACTTCAAGCCAGGAGGTGCGACAGCACCTCCAGCCCCAGCACCTATGGCTGTGCCATCACAACACTCCAAATACTAGAGCAGCCTCCAGTTTCTACCTTCTTATCAAACCTTCTCCTGCTAAGTCCTAGGGGCCTCAACTTCACAAGGAGCTGAGCAATTCCTAGAGGCACTTAGGATGACCAGACATCCTGATATTAGGGGCTTTATATAGGCCCTATTACCACCCATAGGACCCTATTACCCGCCCCTCCACCCCCCTTAGAACCCTATTACCCTCCCTGTCCCAATTTTCCACACTTGTTATCCGGTCACCCTAGAGACGCTAAGCGCCCCAATGGGAAGAGGCCTCAGACCCTTCCATGGTCAAGCCCCCATTGGGAAGATCTGCTGCCTGTCATAGCATTCTGTGAAACAAAGCATCTCTACTTACTGCCAGAGGCCAAGCTGCAGGCAATTCCTGCTGTGATGAGAAGGATCCAGGTCTTCATTGTTCCAGAGACACAGCAGATGAAGCTTCCAAGGTATCAGTGAGACGGAGACTCCCGAATTCCCAAACACCTGTCTGCCCGTCCCTGCTATCTATGGGAGGCTCACAGCAATGCCAGGGGAGAGGGCGCTGGGGAAGTTTGCTTGGATCCCTTGTGGGAGGAGAGTGCGGTGGATACGGTGACAGCTGAATGATGCATGGAGAGGTGTGCACATCAACCTTGCCAAAATTCCACTTTTAACAAATTTTTATTGCTTAAGATAGGCGGAAGGCTGGAAATTCCGGCTGAGTCTACAGCTGTGCTCTGCCCGCCGCAACATGCATGTGGCCCCAGGACTCTGGGTGCTCTGGTAGCAGAAATTAATAATCCAAGTACTAATGTGTGAGACATCTCTGAGTGCCCTCTCACTGGGGAGTGTATTGCTGACATTGTCATCCTGCCAGACTCTCCAGACCTGGGCTGCAGTGTGCTGCTCCCTCCAGTGGCCAGGAGAGTAAAGAGGAAACATGCAAATGAAAAGACTGCAGCACTCATTGGGCTAGTTACCAGCTCCTCACCCTGCTCCGCTGTCTGGCTGCTGGCACGTCCTACGCAATAGCTAACCCCCCTCACCCATTGTCTCCCAGACCCTCTGTAGGAAAGCCCCATCCCATTCCCTCCCTTTGAGGTGGCACCGGGCGCTCCCAGTTACCCAACAGCAGTCTCTGCAGTTTCTTGCTCCCTGCCCTGTTCCTCCTGCCCTTTGGGGCCTTCAATTATGTTACCTCAGAGTCTCTGGGAGACGCCCGACTGCTCCTGATGGTTTCCTGTCCCAGAACACGTTGTGTAAGCTGGGCAGGACACACACAAGGACCCAGCTCATGGGAGCTGCCGGATGGGATCAAACCAGGGGCCATCTAGCCCAGTCTCCCGGCTCCGAGACTGCCAGCATAGTTGCTTCAGAGGAAGGTGCTAGGAGCCCCGCAGTGGCAGTCATGGGATAACCTGCCCTAGGGAAAGTTCCCAACTCCTGCCCCCTGGTAGTGACCAGTTGGCTCATGCCCCAGAGGGAGAGAGTTCCAAGCCCTTCCCAGCTTACTTAGGTCATGTCTACACTACAAACTGATGCAAGTGTCACTGATCCATATGATCAGTGCTAGACTCCCAGCTTTGGGACAGTCCCTTGGAGGAACCCCTTCCATGTGCCAGACCCCCAAGGGGTCTCCCTCTTCCTTCAGCCTCACTGCCTCTGGGGCTCCAGCCCTCCTGCCTCATCCCATGAGTTCTGCTCGGTGAGTCCAACTGAGCCAAACTCCTGGTGGAGACTTGTCCACTCCTCAAGGATTAGTGCATCTCAGCAAGCATTTGCAGTGACACTCAAACAGTGATGTCAAAACAGTCGGGTTCATAAGTTTCCTGGAACACAGCATAGGAAGTCCTTAGGTTAGCAGAGAAATGGAGGTTAAAGCATAATCCAAGTCCACTCTGGTTAGGCAGAGCCCAGCCAAGCTGTAGTGAACTCCATCATTCAAATTTTGTCTCTCTGTCTGACCTCCTTGGTCAGATCCCAGGTGACAGCACTGACTCCTTCCAGCAACCAACTCTTATCCCCCTCACCCCCACCCCACATACACACACCTTCCCCGTCCTTTGTTCTCGAGCTGGGGAATGTTTCTCAGCTTCCCTGCTGAGAGGTGGGGGAATCCATCTCCCTCTGGGTCGTTGGTTGCTCGTGTGAATGTCCTGGTGATTGGCTTTGCTGTTGCCTTCATGTATTCTCCATGGATATGGGGTTGGCCTCAGTGTGACATTCTGTACCCCAAAGCAACACCCTGATACCCCCATTTTCACCATGGTGATATAATTATGATATGTTTTGTGCAAAGTCTGCCTTGTGAGGTATCATTTTAAAAGTCTTGATCTGTTGAGTATTAATATCCTGTTGGATTGTATGTGCTGTCATTGTATCTGGAGTTAGGAAGTTTTGCTATGTGTGTGTTGCCAAAATATGCTGTGAGGTTAAAAGCACCCAAAACCAGCCTTTCAGATACAACAATAAAAAGGCCCAACAGTATTGATAGCCTATTGAGGGAAATACACACACTAACAAGGATTACCCCAGAAACTGTGTACAATAGAAACCTCTCAGAGATAACACATACACAGTGGACACTGTTTGAATTATGTCACAGCAAAAGATCTTTCCAGCAAGATGGAAGAAGCTATAAAAGGGGGAAGCAACTTCATCACTTGGCCTCACTCTCACTACAACTCAACACCTTGAAACACCTTAGGAGCAAAGACTTAACTGGGGAGGGTGGTCCCAGGCTAAAGGGATTTCGAGCCTGTGTATGGAAGATTGGTGGACTGATTATACCATCACAGTGAGACACTGCTTGATTCAAATCCTGTCTAGTGTATAGAACTTAGATTGGGATTTTGTTTTATTCCTCAGGTAACCAACTTTGATCTGTACAATATTACTTATAATCACTTAAAATCTATCTTTCTGGAGTTAATAAATCTGTTTTATATTTTTTATCTAAAACCGTGTGTTGTTTGAAGTGCAAAGGGAAATCTGCTCAGGAACAGCTGGTGCATTGTCCTCTCCACATTGAGGGAGGGGCGGACTGGGTAATAACTTACACTGGTCAGGCTTCTGGCCAGGGCAGGACAGTACAGCTCTGGGGTCCTAGGCTAGGGAGCTGGGGGAAGTTGGCTGGAGCCTCTCTATTGTTATTTCATGAGTGGCTAGGAGAAGCATTCATGTAACTGCAGCTGGGTGTGTCCCTGCATGTGTATGGCTTTGTGGGTGTAAGACCTGCAGCTTGTCATAGCCTTACAATATGAGAGGGAGCCTAGGCTTGTGAGATAGAGGGCTCAGCAGTAGACAGTTCCAAGTTGCACCCCGGGGCAGTACATCACACTCAACCCGTCTTTTTTAATGACTCATCACAGCTCAGACACCTGGGCAACATTCAGACCTAGGTCTCTTAGCCTGCCCTGTGAGCAAACAGTCCTTTTTCACTCACTGGGTAACCCTACTGTGTATAGGGGAAACTGAGGCACACATAGGATTCATAAAAATATTACAGAAAATTCTCACTTTATCACATTACCTTACATTGGTGTACAGACACTGAAGTTTGCCTATAGCTCCTGTGCATGCATACTTGGCTGCTTGCATTGGCATTCTGTGTACTCATCAGGAGAGCTTGTGGTGATGCAAAGTCTGCTGCACCACAGGTAGGTATCCCAGTGTGACGTGCTGCTGTTCCACACAATGTCTTTTGGAAATTTTTTGCAATGTGTTGTGGGACAGAAATGACTGGCCCAGGGATCTCTGGGAGCTAGGGGTCAATTTCCCTACCTGCAACATTATCCATCCCATAATGTCATCTGTGACACTCTGGCACCCCAATATTCACCACTGTCATGTAGTTAGGAAATGTTTCGTAGAAAGTATGCCTTGTGAGGTATCATTCTAAAAGTCTTGATCTGCTGGACATTAATATCTCGTTGGATTGTATGTGCTATTGTCATATGTGAAGTTATGAAGTCTGGCTATGGATGTGTTACTGAAACATGTTGTGAGGTTGAAAACACCCACAAGCAGCCTTTCGGGTACAACAGTAAAAAGGGCAAACAATGTTAATGGCTTATTGAGGAAATGCACCCAAGCACAAGGATTGCCGCAGGAATTGTGTACAATAGAAACCTCTCCGAGATAGCACTACACAATGGGAACTGTTTGACCCAGGTCACAGCAAAAGAGCTTTCCAGCAAGTGGGAAGAAGATATAAAAGGGGGAGTTCACTCTCCCTGGAACAACACACCTGGAAACACTTGAGGAATAAAGGAACGGGGGGAAGTGATGGTCCCAGGCTAGAGGGATTTCTAGCCTATGTATGAAAACCTGGAAAACACAAGTTCAGAGCCAAGGCAGCTTGTGCCTTAGGAATCTGCCAGCCTGTTTATCACGCAGGATGAAAATTTGCTAATTCATATCCTACCTATCTAGTGTGTTAAGATCAATATTTATGTACTAGGTAATCTGCTCTGATGTGTTTGCTATTACTTATAGTCACTTAACATCTATCCTTTTGTAGTTAATAAACGTATTTTATGTTTTAATCCAAACCAGTGGATCGGCTTTTGTTTGACTAAGGTGTCTGGGGAACATCTCAGCTTGGTTACCACAAGTGTGCATGGTCCTCTTCACATTGAGGGAGAGGCAGACTGGGTGTTAAACCCATATACTGGCCACATTTGACCATGGCAGGACGGTACTGCTCTGGGGTCCTAGGCTGGGAAACTGGGTGTGTCCCTACCTGTGTGAATGCCGGTGAAAGTGCAAACCTGGAGGGCTTTGCAACTTGTCACAGCAGCACAGTGTGAGAGGGAGCCCATGCTGGTGAGTCAGAGGGCTCAGTGGCACTGCAGTTCCAGGTGGCACCCCGGGGGGAACCCGTCACACCATCCATATCCCATAATTTTCACACCTTTTTAAAAAAATCCCACAACACTTTTTGGTGTCTGCCATCCAGCCTTGAGAGAAGCACAGAACCCCCAGAGTGCTGAACTATTCTCATGACCGATGCAAACACAGGATGCACAATCCTCTTGTATTTGCAGACCTGCAGGCAGTACCACAACCACAGGGGACATGACAATTTCTTCAAGGACAATTTGCTAAAGGACATGGCGAAAATCATTCAAAGTTTTTGGTAGCATTCACAGAGGAGCTGCAGATGACAGAGCACCACTTCTGGGCCCAAGAAATGAGCACTGACTAGGGAGATCACATAGTAATGCAGGTTGGGGATGACAAGCAGTGGCAGCAGATCTTTTGGTGCAAAAGCTCACATTTCTGGACCTGTGTGCCATGCTCGCCCAAGTCCGGAAGTGTAGAGCGGAATTGACAGTGGAGAAGTGAATAGCGATTGCACTATGGAAGCTTTCAACGCCAGACTGCTACTGGTCAGTGGGAAATCATTTTGGAGTGGGCAAATCCACAGTGG